TTCCACAAAACCTGCTGGAACAGCAAGGAAAACAAGTTTCACATATTTCCATTTAGACTCTGCTCCCATTAATCTTAAAGGGGAATGACGAACTTAGCAGCAGATGTTAACCGTCAGGACTGGGTGAGCCAGATCCTTTATAACTCAGATCACTGTACCCTGACATTATGCTAAGGGTCAATTTTGTCATAACCATTACCTAATCAAATTTTGGGAAATAAATGTAGGGAACTGGGCACATATGCATGTTTTTAAAGTGTGAGAAGGGGCTGGTCAAAGTCTATCGCAGGAGGCATGCAATGGTTGCCTCAGAATGATGGAGAAGATCTGGAGCAGGCATCAGTGTTTGTGGTGTGTAGAGTCATTCCACAATTGTCTCTAGTAAACAGATTTTGTAAGTTTTGTCACTTTTCAAAGGCTTGCAAAACCTGTTCTATCACAGATGACAGCGAACAAAAGAAGTGCCCATATCTCAAATGCACCACATCTCTATTGTACCACAGCCTCGTGCAAACCGTTGCCTCTTGCATGATGTACGGGGCAGACAAGGTGTGTAGGTGTGTTTTGTTTGGTTCTTTTTTCCCAGTTACACATTGATGTTTTAATTGTGTTTTTTAGGTTTAATAGCTTGATTTAATGGTTTAATTGTTTCATTAGGCGCCCAGAGAACTTAGGCCATGGGGCAGCTATGCAAATTCAGTTAAAAAATAAATAATGAATTACATGTCTCATATCGATGTGTCTACAGCTCTCTTCAGAACACTGTGCAGAACTGCTTGATGTAAGAACCACTGTCAGCTGCACATATTTAAAGAACCTGCATTGTGTACAACCCAGAGGAAAAGTGAGCAGACATAATTCCAATGGCAATAATCAGAATATAAGTGCCTAACTTCCTTTGACCAAAAAATAAGTTATCAGTAGGGCATAGAGTCAATGTACAAGGTGCTGGGGCATTGACCAGCGATACGATGAGGCAGGAGCAAAGCTCTGGCATTTCTGGCAAGACATTACCAGAGCCCCTTCAAAGAGGCTAGAGACTATGCACTATACATCTCTCAGTCAAAATGTGCAAGGGGTGAGAAGATAAAAGTTGCCACCATGTAAACAACTTTGCTGTTTCACTGCCCTTTCCTACACCATTGTCCATTGCAGTCTAAGATTTATTTTTTGCTTGTCTTGCAACTAAAAGCATCATGGAAACACAGAAGCCAGTCATCATAGCCTAGTGCTATGCTATTGCAATAAAACAAGGGTAGGCAACCTAAGGCCCGTGGGCCGGATGCGGCCCAATCGCCTTCTCAATCCGGCCCATGGACAGTCTGGGAATCAGCATGTTCTTACATGAGTAGAATGTCTCCTTTTATTTAAAATGCATCTCTGGGTTATTTGTGGGGCATAGGAATTCATTCATTTCCCCCAAAAAAATATAGTCCGGCCCACCACATGGTCTGAGGGATGGTGGACTGGCCCACAGCTGAAAAAGGTTGCTGACCCCTGCAATAAAATCTGTCAAAAAAATAAAAAGCCCTTACTGGAGAAAAGCAATAAGTTTCACTGGAGAGCTTGGATGGGACGTTTTCGTAATCAGGGGGAGCAAAAAGCCACCCCATAGAATGTAAACTCAGTTTTCATTATTTGGAGCCAATTCTGTAAACATTGGAGAGAAGTTATTTGAGATCACTTTCCTTGAGTGATGTTTAACTGGAACAACATTGCCGCTTGCCTTATGGTGTGGCTAATCTCCCAGTATCCCTTCCTCCTTTTATCCTCACACCCTCCTGCAATAACAAGATTAAGCATTAGCCGGGCCAATACTGGTTTGGTTACATAATTCCTGCTTGTTAAGTCTTTTTCAGTGAAGGAAAATAATAGCTTGGGAAAGGGTCATATCTTGATAGTACTATTAAATAATGGGTTGGGGGGGTAACCTATAAGATCTGCAGAGAAGACCTAAGAAGACCTTCTATATCCAATAGTGGCATATGAAAAATAACTTTTAGACTGTAATCTATATCCACTTATTTGGGAGTAAATCTCACTGAACTCTACAGGGCTTGCTTCTGAGGTGACACATTTAGGCCTGGCCAGTTCACTCCCCCTTGTCAGACTCCTTCGAGAGTCCTTGGGGAAACTGAGTTGTTCATCCACTTCTAAAGGTACTTCTGTTTATTTTAACCAGTTTCCATAATGTTTGGAAACTTCTTAGAACAATGTAACAGTGACTAAGCCAGTGGCTCTGGTTAACCTTTCCACATCTTCCTGATAGCCATCTATATAATTAAATTAGCCCAGAGCCTTAAAAGCAAGGGGATTAGCTACTTTTGTGATGTCTAAGAATTGCCTCTGGAAGAGGGGAGGTGGGGAGAGTAGAGGTTGGTCTGAGCAAGATCATCTTTCCAAGTCTGATAAGAATCCTTCTTACATATTATTCTAGGAATTCTAGGTCAGGTGTGAACATTATAAAGGCACAGAAACTAGATACACATTCTTGCTTCTGTTTCAAACATAGGAGAAGGTATCTACTTAATGCCAAATGAGGAATGTGGACAGCTCAAATTCAGCATCACATTTTGGCAATGCTTTGTTGCAACGCTGCTTTCCTCCAATGGGCCTTTTGGCTCAGTAGATAAGGGTGCCTTCCTATTAACCCTGAGACTGTGGATTTAATGCCTAGTGAAGGTCGACAGCTCAGTGGCACAGAAATCCCCAGGTTTAATTTCTAGTATTTTAACTTCTAGTATTGAGGTTGGAGTGGGGGAATACCCTTCTTGCACAAATAGGAGTTTGTTTTGTACTCTTACTTCTCGTAATGGGGAGGGCAGACAGGGTCAGTCAAAGCGATTCTGCTGCCTGGGGCAAAGAGCAAGACAGTGCCCGCTCCCACTTCCACCTGCAGAAGCTAACTAGGCTGGCAGTGGAGTCTTGCTTCACAGGACAGAGTGTCCCACTGGAGAGTCACAACAGGCCACAGGCCACTCCCTGCCTCCCACCAAATGTTCTTGAAGTGGCTGCCTCTCTCTGCCCCTGGGGAAGAGGGCAGGTTGCAGGCCAGATGCAAAGGTGCTACAGGCCCATGGGCTGGTGATTTCTTACCCATGATGTAGTCAATTACACAGGCCAATGGTCTGGCCCAGCATAAGGTTTCTTCCAGCTGTGTAGTTATTGCCATAAATGGAATGGTGCTTCTTAATGAGATATCTTGGAAACCGCCTCCTTGGCATATGTACTAATAGGGACTTTAAGAAGTTGGGCATATCTTAATCCTAGGGCACACTGTGAGAAGCAGAACCTGGATAGCTCAGCTGGTTACAGCATGGTGCTGAGAATGCCAAGGTAGAAGGTTCGATCCCCAGATAGGACAGCTGCATATTCCTGCATTGCAGGGGGTTGGACTAGATCAGGGGTCTGCAACCCGCGGCTCCGGAGCCGCATGTGGCTCTTTTACACCTTTGCCGCGGCTCCGGGACGGATACTAGCAAGGGGAGGAGGCACATTGTGCGCCCCGACACTCCCCACTGTGGCGGGCGCTGTACTGGCTGTGACGTCGCATGGGGGCGGTGCGTGCGTTAGTCACGCACTGTCCCGACATCACCTTCCCACCCGCTGTCAGATCGGAGGGCAGCGGCGCGCATGCTTTAAATGTCGCAATGGTTTTGCGGCTCCCAGGTTTTTTTCCCTTCGGAAATGGGTCCAAGTGGCTCTTTTTGTCTTAAAGGTCGCAGACCCCTGGAAGAGATGGTCCTCAGGATCCCTTCCATCTCTACAATTCTATGATTGTGAAACCATGCAAGGCCAACACAAGAATATTGCTGGCTGCAATTTCTCATTCCGGGAGGGTGCTTTTCAAGTTTGGGGGCTTCCGCGCAAAGGACAGCTATTTCAGTAAACAACTCTGAGGAGCTGAACCAAGCAGAGTAAGGAACCTTGGGGGCTAATAAGAAGGGGCAAGAATAATGAGTGGGAAGGACTTGCACAATCAGACTAGTGTGTTGCCTGCAGAGGCCATGCATGCATTTACAGGTAAAGCAAAAGCAGAGACTTCGAAGCCGGAAAGAAAGTGCCTCAGGTGGCTGCGCTGATGCATCTTGAAAATGTGGTTTGTGAGAGGCAACTAGTGTTCTCTCTACCCCTCACTTCTGCCTCCTGGGAGGCCCCCATCCACATATACCACCACTGCTATATTTATTTGCATAGAGGCTTACCCATGGCCCTGTATCTAAAAGAACTGGGTTTAAAGGTGATAACGACCCAGAAGGATGTCGCTGCTGCTGTAGGCAGCGAGGGAGGAAGCCAGCCAGAAGATGTTTTGTGGAGTGGAGTTTGACCATCTCAAACAGATTAAGGGCAGGTTTGGGCTCTGCTGAAAACTGGGGGTGGGGGGGGGTCGGCGCGTGTGCTTGTGGAGCAACTTGTACGGTTGTTGCGAATCTGCAAGGAGTGATAAGTTCTGCAGCGTCGGTTCCCAAAGAAGAGGAGAGCAGGGTGGGAGGGGAGAAGAGGAAGAAGAAAAGCGTCTCCGGTGTTTTCACCGATGGAAGAAGACGACACCCTCTCCGGCCCAGTCGAAATGCTGTTTCTCTCCCCACTGTGGCTCCTACAGCAATTCCTAAACCTAAACACAAGAAAGTCAGGCAGGCGAAGCCGGCGCTTCTCTCCTTAGCCTAGCCCATCATTGCTGCGCACAGTCCTTCCCTCCCTCTTTTCCCAACACCCGCAAGCTGCTCGCCTGCAGCTCCAACAATGCAAGGGAAAAAAGGACAAGAATGGCAGAGGAGGAAATGAGCCACAGCTGGGCGATTCTGAATCTCTCGGTCTTCCTTATTCCAGCGGGGCTGGAGGCGGGGGGTTGGGGGTGGGGGTGGGGATCAATGCTCAGAAATGTACAATTACGACCAAGCTGCAGCAGGACCACGTAAGGACTGCATACACAGAGCAGCAAACGGGTTTCTCTCTCTCTTTCTCTAACCAAGCCATTCAAGCAACAGATAGAGGTTTACCTTCAAAATGCAGGCCATGTTCTTCCCTAGCCTTCCTCAGCCCGCAAAGCAGAAGGAGATCTGCTTTGTGAGTAACAGATCCAGTCTGAGGCAGGAGGTTGGCCGGAGAGCTGCGGAGGGGTGCCCGTGCCTACATTCCTGGAGATCCAGAGAAGGAGCCACAATTCTTAAGATCCGTTAGTCATGTTAGTCTTTTCATGCCCTGTTTGTTCCACCCATCAGCTTCTGCCACTGGCTGCAAGCCAGCCCAGTACCTCCCCTCCGTCACATGACTGAGTTTGATTCATGGCTCTAGCTGGGGGATTTTATTTTTTTCAATTTAAGAGGGAAAAGCTCAGTTGGATGCTCTCTCTGCCTTTACGGTATGCGAAAGCAAATCTGCACTGTGCAGATGTTCTGGGTTTTAGAGAGTTGCTCATTAAATTATCTTTCCGATCATTCCAGTATTTTATTTTTTTTAAAGGAACATTTCTCCGCTGCGTTGGTCAGTTTACAAGCACAAGAGTGTTTCCCAGTAGTTGAGGGGTCACACACGCAGACACAAACACACACATACACAAATCAGTCATCTGCAAACATTTATTAAATGCCACGCCGCGGTCTTTCGTCGTCTGGAGAACAAACTTTCCTTTGTCTGAAAGTCCTGCAGAACTGCCTGCGGTAGAAAGAGGCTCACTCAGTCCTGACTCAACACACACACACAACACACAACACACACACACACACACACACGCCGGATCGCATTGCCCTGAGTGTGTCTACTTATATGCTGCTGTTCTTACCGGAAAGAATACGTATGCAAATTCCATTCCATTTGTTTCCAGGAAGCTCGGAACCTATCCTTGGAAAATATATGGATAACTAAATGTAATTTATGGATAAATGGAATAAATAAATGGAATTAGTTTCCCAATGATAGGTTCTGAGCTTCCTGGAAAGGCAACGAAAGTGAAACGAAAGTTATTCCATGATTTGCTTATCTTATCACCTGGCATTTAGGGTGAATCCAAACTGCTGTCTGCTCCACAAGACTTTTAAAAGAAAAAAAATGTTCGTTATTCGAGTCCTTTCTGTATTTGAAAATGCTCTAGGGAGACTTTTGCTGGGGGTGTCACACAGCTGTGTGCTACCAGTGAGAAATAGTCTTGTGGAAGAAACATCCAAGTGGAATCTCTCACGTAGAAAAACTTTATTATTTATTAAATTCGGATACCACCCTCCGTAGATCACAGGGCAGTTCACAGCATATAAATACAAGTTAAAAAACAAACAAACCAGAACATAGTGGGTAGGTTCCAATTCAAAGCATAACTCCGGTGCTGCCCAAAGGGTTGGGAATCCTTGGAGTTCCTCCCCACAAACACACACTTTTGAACTGCAGAGACACACACATGCCCCCCCCCCAAACTGGGTTTTTTGCCGTTCTTTTTCTTTATTCATAAGAGTACATATCCTGTGCTCTCAGAAAATGTCATTGCGGCGAACGTCAATATAAAAATCTTTTTGGAAACCATTGAAAACATTACAGATTATCAAGAACCATGAGCCCAAAGCATCCTCTCTGATGCACAGAACTGGTCACGTACTTTATCAGGCGCTAGTCACTATCTGGCTTTACAAAAATATAACTTGTCTTTGTTATTTATTTAATAAAATAGTTCACATGGCGCCTTTCATTTCAAGAAGAAATGCCAAGGCGGTTCACAAGCAAAATCATGCAGTAAAATCAACTCATTTGTCTATTATTATTATTATTATTATTATTATTATTATTATTATTATTTAAAGTTCAAATATCCACCCTGAATAAAATAATGTTACAAATTTAGCCTCACTAACCAGAAAAAGCGGAACTGGGTATTAATGGCCATAGCAATTCCCAGGTAAACAGGTACATCTTCAATGGGGGTGGGGTTTCCACAGTCATAACCTGCCTGATGTCCAGGGGGTGATCACTGCAAAAAGTAGGTGCCACCGCGGAGAAGGCTCCATGGAGTAGGCCATGGCACAATGGTGCTCTTTCAGATAACCAAGTCCTGAAATGTCTAAGACATAGTAAACAAGCACTAAGACCTTTAACTTGTCTCAGTAGCTAGCTAACCAGCTGCCAGTTCAAACTCTTTCAACGCATATGTAACATGTTCATGGTAGGAAGCCTCACTGAGCAACTTAGCAGCCACCTTCTGCTTCAGCTACAGATCTGAATCTACTCTTAAGGGCAACATCACATAAACTCTTTTTTTTAAAGGCATCCTAAAACAGACAAAATGTTCTAAAAACAGTTACAGTTAGAAACATTATTTCATTCAGTGATCTCATAGTTGCCGGGAACAGTATTCTTCAGCTGCCAAATGCCTGGGTAAAAACATAAATGTTTCAAAATTCCTCCTGAAATTTCATAATGCTAGAGACAAGCACACCTCACTAGGGAGGGCAATCCAGGAACAATAAACAAGAGCAGAAAAGGCCTGTCATGAGTCAACACCAACCAGGCATCCCCTAGTGGTGGCACCATCAACAAAGTCTCAGTGCAAATGTGTATAACATATGGATAATAAATGACGTTAAGGGTGCTGAGAATTGTAGCTTTGAAAACCACAGTGCCCAAAATCTGATGGAGCTTTAAATGTGCTTTATATATATGGTGTTTACCCAGCCAGAACAGGAGGTGAGGCTTCCTGTTGGATCATTGGCCCAATCCAGGAGGTTCTCCTTATCTTCTTAACATGCTGTGTGGGCCACACATCTGTATTCTAACTGTAATTTTGTTTGTGGTGACTTCTGAATCAGAGTGACTTCCGTAAACCAGGCTAAAATTCTAGTACTTACACATTGCAAGACAAAAAACAAAAAAACCCAAGCAAACTTTAATCTCTGGCCAGGAAGCCTGCCCAGGAAGCTACCCAGTTACTGTTAATCTGTTTTTCAGGGATGGTGGTGCTGAACAATATAAGAACAAACAGTGATAAAATCTTTATAATGTAAACCACAGCAATCCCCACCTAAATGACAGTGAACACTGGTTTTATCCAGAGGTTTAACTCAGAGCTGTACTACCCAACCAATACAATTGTCCATCCTTTCTGATAATTTTTCTTTAATTAAAAAAGTTGTTTGTAAAGCTCTTCGGGGTCCTGTAGAGCCTAATGGTTATTATTGTTTACTCTCCATAAACACTAATAGGAGCTATTTGTAGCTTTATTAGGTCCCTTTACTGAAATTTATTAAGATCTCTCAAGGCATTGCAAGCCAAACTGCCTAGAAACTATTTCCAACTTTCTTGAAATCAAAATATGCAACATCCCACCAATGCAACTGGTTATAACATATGGATAAAGGTTTGGTCTGATTTACGGCTTTTATTCCACTTTTTTTTTTTAAATTAGAGCATAGGATGCATAGGATCATCATGACTTGACTTCAGAGATAATTCTTCATGCTTTCTGATTAATCTCCTAGTCCCACATTTGATGTTGTTATTGTGTATATAGGCCTGGCATTTTTAGGTACATTTAATCACCAGTATTCTACCTAGTGAGCCTGCCCCCATGATCCCCATGAAGTTGGATATATTGTTTGGAAAGGGTTTAACTGTATTATGTGTGCTTAAGCATCATTGATTTCACTGAAATATACTTGTGCAAAGCCATGCTATTGCCTATTGTCCAAAGGCAATAATAACCTTAGTAATAATTTTCCTGGCTAGTGCTTGTATTCAAATAACTAAAATTTAGACCAGAGCAGTCTTCTGGCCATGCTGTGTGGATTCATTAACTGTAATGTTTTCGTCACAGCATTTAACAATTGCTTACCCTCAAGGGAGTTTTATTCTGCTATTATCTCATTTTACTACATTCTTTGATACCATATGCTGGTTTTCTCTTTTTATTTTTAAAGAAAGCTTGCATGAATAAACTGTTCCCTCATATGTGATTTAACTATGTCCCAAACACGAGCCAGATGGACATATTCACTGCCATGTAGTGGTTAGCATGTTGGACTAGGGTCTGGAACACCAGGCTTCAAACCCCTACTCAGTCATGAAGCTCACTGTGTGAGCTTGGCCAGTCACAAGATGTATGCCTAACCTACCTCAGAGGGTTGCTGTGAGGCTGAAATAGGGTGGAGGAGAACCATGTATGTCACCATGAACTCTCTGGAGGAAAGGTGGGATATAAATATAACAATTAATATGAGACTGTATTGCTAAAATAAAGGAAAAGAACAGCTTCTTGCTTAGGTCTTGAAAACTCATTGGTTTTTGAAAGTTATTTTTAGTTTTAGTATTTTTATACTTACATGTTGGCAAGTAAAACACGGACCACTTATAAATGCCATCTCCAACTTCTCGAAAGATTCCATCAACAGTGTCTCCGAAAAGTTTTACACTTCACTTGGGAAGACACATGAACTAATATCAGTGTACTAGAAGAAGCAACTATCACCAGTGTTGAAGCAATGATTCTTCAACATCAACTTCACTGGACTAGTCATGTTGTGTGGATGCCTGATGCTTATCTTCCAAAGCACCTACTCTATTCCGAACTTAAAAATGCAAAGCGTAATGCTGGTTGTCAACAAAAGAGGTTTAAAGACTGTCTCAAGGCAAATCTAAAAAAAAATGTAGTATACACACTGACAACTGATAAACACTGGCCTGCGGGTGCTCCAGTTGGAGAACAGCCTTTACCAAAGGTGTCATGGGCTCTGAAGACACTCGAACTCAAGACACAAGGGAGAAATGTGCTAAGAGGAAGGCACGCTTGGCAAATCCACACCGTGATCAACTCCCACCCGGAAACCAATGTCCCCACTGTGGAAGGACGTGTGAATCCAGAATTGGCCTCCACAGTCACTTATGGACTCACTGTTCAAACCATGATTATGGAAGACAATCGCCGAAGAAGATAGAAACAAATAAACAATACTCATATTATAGAGATAATATTTACATATATTATAACCTTTAAGGTTCTCTGTGTGATAAAAGGCAAGATTTATGCTTTTCTGAAAAATTGGTGGAATTCTGTTCCAACAGAAAATGGCCCCTCCATGCATCTATTAAAAATAATTTATGAAAGAGGTTCCAAATGCCTTTGAAATTATAGGTTGAGTTCCTTACTGTATTTCTATATTTAGCACAATACATCATCATAAGAGATCTCAGAATGGGGTACAATCCATTAGAAAATCAAATTCACAATAAAAACTATTACATAACTAGAGCCGACCAAGTGTTCAAA